AGGCTTGAATTTTAACTTTTAAACTGAGGGGCGATAGGACGAGGTGGTATAAGAGAGCTCGAACATGGTGATCGAAACACAACAGACGTAAATTCAAATTTTCAAATTCAAGACTTTAGGGAGTGGTCATTTAGTTCTTGTTTTTCGACCTAAACGGTCTCTCGATTCTCGATCCTCGATTCTCGGCGTTCGACCTCAGAGGCAGGTCTCCCAATTCTCGATCCTCGATTCTCGGCGTTCGACCTCAGAGGCAGGTCTCTCGATTCTTGATTCTCGGCGTTCGACCTCAGAGGCAGGTCTCTCGATTCTTGATTCTCGGCTTTCGACCTCAGAGGCAGGTCTCTCGATTCTCGATCTTCGATTCTCGGTGTTCGACCTCAAAGACAGGTCTCTCGATTCTCGATTCTCGGCGTTCGACCTCAGAGGCAGATCTCTCGATTCTTGATTCTCGGCGTTCGACCTTAGAGGCAGGTCTCTCGATTCTCGATTCTCGGCGTTCGACCTCAGAGGCAGGTCTCTCGATTCTCGATTCTCGGCATTCGACCTCAGAGGTAGGTCTCTCGATTCTCTATTCTCGGCGTTCGACCTCAGAGGCAGGTCTCTCGATTCTCGTTCTCGGCGTTCGACCTCATAGGCAGGTCTCTCGATTCTCGATTCTCGGCATTCGACCTCAGAGGCAGTCACTCGATTTTTGATATTAGTGGTCATTCGGTATTCATTTGGGGTCCCGATGCTCACTTGGAGGATTGATAACTATTTGGTGGTCGAGGATTTATTTAAATGGTAACCTCGGTGGCAGGTCGACGAAAACAATCCGAAGAGGAATTTTAACTCTTGGATCGAGTCATGCTTACTCGACCAGAGTGGGGGGGACTAGATGATATAGGATATTATACTGGACCCGGTTTAGTGGATAAAACGGATACATATTGGAGGATAAGCCCACTAAGACATCTAAGCCCAACGATAGGGGTCAAGCCCAACTTGGGCCCAAAAGGTATATTCCCCCTATAAAAGGGGGGTCAATGTACCTCATATTCTCATTCTCTATTCATTGATTACTACACACTCTCTCTCTTGATATGAGGACTGACTTAGGCATCGGAGGCCCGACGCCGGGGCCACCCCCGGTGTTGGGTTCTGCAGGTAAGGAGGCCGTTTGAGTTGAAGGAGCCGGGTGAAATTTATTCACTTCACCCGGGAAACCGGTTTAGGAAAATCGCGGAAACCCCTCGAGGTTAAACCTAGATCATCTCGTCCGGAAACCTCGTTTGGAAAGAGAAGCTCACGAAAATGAGTTCGTGAGAGTTGAAAGGATTAGGCTCCTCTTGGCTCGGTTAGTCTTCTAGAAAATTCGGGTCAATGAGCACGGGAAACCGGCCTAGGAGACTCGAGGACAAACCCCGAGGTTAAACCTAGGTAATAATCGTCCTAACGACTCTCATTTGGAAAAAGTAGCTCATTAATAAAAAAAAGAAAAGAAAAAGAAAAAAAAAAGAAAAAAAAAGAAGGGGAGTTGGATTATTGGTCTCGTTCTTATCATTTCATGTTTAGTAGATCATTATAGTTTTTGCACGTGTATGTAGACGAGGGAGTGTGAATCGAGTGATCATGTGTAGAATAACTCGGGATGGATTTTTGTTTTGTATGGATTTGCTATGTGGGGACCGTGTTTTCGGATTGGATTTTGATTTTAGGGATAATCGGATGATAATGAGAATCTCATTTTGCATGCTCGTTAATGTTTGACCGTTCGATTTTTATTTTCGAGCTACTTGTTGTTTTGTTTGCTTGAGGACAAGCAAAGAGTTAAGTGTGGGGGAGTTGTTTATTGTGTTTTTGTGCTTATTTTCGTGTGTTTTATGTGTTTTAGTTTAGTATTTTTAGGTTCGTTTTAGTGTCGACCGGTCCATTTTATCGTGTTTCGTGCACTTTTATTCTCGTTTCATGTTTTTGTGGTTTGGCGTACTTTTCTTATCTTTTTGGTGTTGTTTAGGTCCACATTATTCAATCTTGGGAAGACGAGCCATTTCCGAGACATTTTCGAGTCGTCCGAACCATGTTCGAGCCACACGGGCCATTTCCGAGCCGTTCCGGGTATATTATTAATTGCATGGTGATATCAATTTGCGCATCTCAAGACGAGGAGAACGAGATTTGGAAAGCGTGGGTCAAAGTTTCAAGTCAATCGGAGAAGCGTGCGAGAAGTTGGAGCTAATCAAGCCTCAAAGTCAACTCAAGGCCGGATTAGAGCCCTCGAAAATGCTTTCTATCTTGCGAAAATGACATCAGCTGCGAGTTTCATCATCTAAGCTGCGAGTTTTGGTGTATCAAGCTGCGAAAATCAAGGACCTATCCTGCGAGTTCGACCTATCCTGCGAGTTTTCATCATTTAATGTGTGTGTTTTAGTGTGTGTTTGTGGTGTAGCTATAAATAGGCATTGTGCTTTGTAATTTTGGGAACAACTCTCATTTCCCAACTTTTAAGTTGGGAAAATCCCCTCTATTTCTCTTTTTTCCTTTTTATGCTTGGGTTAGGAGCTCTATTACTCATATTTTCCGGTAAGTTTCCGGCGACATCATTTTATTTCAAGTTTCAAACTTTTCCATCGGTGTTCTTCACGCATGCATTAGGAGAGTGGGTAATTAGCTTTAATCCTCATTACTTCGAATTTGCCCTCTTTTTCTTATGATGTGTTTCAAGGTGAATGTGGTTTTGCTTGTTGATCAGAGGAATGTTCGATTCTTGTAGCTCGTCGACGTGTGTTAGGGATTAGTTTGTGCTTATCTTGTTTAAAGATTGCGACTTTGTTTAAAAGTGTAGTCATTTAGTAGAAAGATCGATTTAATGACCTAGGATCATTTGGCAATGTTGATGTCCCTCGGTTCTTTTTGTGATTATTCGAGTGATAGAGACCCCGGTTGACCTAAAGCTCTCATCTTTGTTTTTTAGTTTTCACTTGCTTTCGATTTCCAATTGCGAGTAGTGTTTAATTCATACCCCCAATTTGCGAGTAGAATGTTTAGGACCTTTTTGGTTGTATGACTTTGACGACTAGGTAGTGAACGAAGCTCCGAAGAGCCTTCCTTTGAGAACGACCTGAGTCGGGTAGCTCGGTTACCACATGCCCAAAAATACTACAAACACAAAGCACCCTATCGTATGGCGCCAAAAGAATTGCAGGAGCTTAAGGCGCAAATTCAGTATTTAGTACGACTCGGTTTCATTCGGTCGAGCGTTTCACCTTGGGGAGCACCCGTTCTCTTTGTTAAGAAGAAGGACAGATCCATGCGCATGTGTATCGACTACCGGGATCTTAACCGGTTGACGATCAAGAACAAATATCCGCTTCCCAGGATTGATGATTTATTTGATCAGTCGAGGGGAGCTTGTGTTTTCTCTAAGATTGATTTGCGATCAGGCTATCATCAGCTGAAAATCGAGGAGTCAGACATTCCTAAGACTGCTTTCCGTACTCGTTACGATCATTACGAGTTTATTGTCATGCCATTTGGCCTCAGCAATGCCCCTGCAGTATTTATGGATCTGATGAACCGTATCTTCCATCCCTATCTTGATCAGTTTGTCATTGTTTTCATTGATGATATTCTTATCTACTCAAAGAGCCAGAAGGAACATGAGGAGCATCTGAGGGTTATTCTTGAAACCCTTAGACGAGAAACGTTATATGCAAAATTCTCCAAGTGTGAATTCTGGCTCCAGCGAGTAGCTTTTCTTGGTCATGTGATTACGCAGACAGGTATTGAGGTTGATCCTTCCAAGGTTGTAGCCGTTCAGAACTTGTCGACACCGAAGAGTCCGTCCGAGGTTCGCAGTTTTCTCGGTTTGGCTGGTTATTACCGCAGATTTATCGAGGGCTTCTCCAAGATTGCCCTTCCTTTATGCCAGCTGACGAGGAAGTCTGTGGAGTTCGAGTGGACTAATCGTTGTGAATCGAGTTTTCAGGAGCTTAAGAAGAGATTAACTTCATCACCGGTATTGACTATTCCCGATCCTTCCCGGAGTTTCACCATTTTTAGTGATGCTTCAAGACAGGGTTTGGGATGTGTCCTTATGCAGGATGGCCATGTCGTTGCTTATTCTTCACGCCAGTTAAAGCCACACGAACAGAATTATCCGACGCACGACTTGGAGCTAGCTGCAGTTGTTCATGCCCTTAAGATTTGGCGACATTATCTATACGGCGGTCGATGCGAGATTTTTACCGATCATAAGAGCCTACAGTACATTTTCACTCAGAAGGAGCTCAACATGAGGCAGCGCCGTTGGTTAGAGCTCGTTAAGGATTATGATTGCACGATTCAGTACCATCCAGAAAAGGCGAATGTTGTTGTTGATGCCATGAGCCGCAAAGTGAAGGGGGATTTGACATATGTGGTTACTCAGCAGAGCCAGTTGATTCAGGAGTTAGCCCGGATGCAGATTCAGGTGGTTGACGCACTTCCTACAGTTATTGCGAGGAGTGTTAGTTCTATGCAGATTCAGCCAACGTTGAGGGAGAGAATCCGGCGGGAGCATGCTTCGGATGAGTTTGTTTGTACCATTGATGCCAAAGTCCGCGCCGGAGGCGTTCAGGGTTTTCACCGAGGCACAGATGGGGCCTTGGAGTTTCGCGGCAGGATTGTGGTGCCAAAAGTCGAGACCTTGAGGAAGGAGATCTTGACGGAGGCTCATACCGCACCATATCTAGCCCATCAAGGAAGTACAAAGATGTATCATGACCTGAAAAGGTCGTTCTGGTGGAGAGGTTTGAAGAAAGACGTAGCCGACTTTGTGAGGAAATGTTTAACCTGTCAGCAAAGAAAAGCCGAGCATAAGAGTCCTATAGGCCTTCTACGACCACTACCGATTCTGAGGTGGAAGTGGGAAGAGGTGACGATGGATTTCGTTACGGGTTTATCGAGGTTGTCTGAACATCACGACGCTATTTGGGTCGTAGTCGACAGATTGACTAAGGTTGCTCATTTCTTACCAGTATCGATGAATATGTCTTTGGACAAGTTGGCTGAGATTTATACCCGTGGGATCGTTCGACTCCACGGAGTGCCTGTTACTGTTGTGTCAGACAAAGACCTCAGATTCACTAGTAGATTCTGGCAGAGTTTGCACAAGGCGATGGGCATGAAGCTAGTATTCAGTACAGCCAACCATCCAGAGATTGATGGACAGACAGAGCGGACCATTCAGACGTTGGAGGATATGTTACGAGCTTTGGTTGTTGACAGGGGTGCTAAGTGGGAGTCGTTGTTGCCATACGTTGAGTTCGCGTACAACAACAGTTGTCATTCTTCTATTCAGATGGCTCCTACGAAGCACTTTACGGTCGTAAGTGTCGTTCCCCTCTTTATTGGGACGATGTCGGTGAACGTCGAGTACTCGGTCCGAAGATGATCGAGGAAACTGCAGAGCAGGTCGAGTTGATCTGGCAGAGGCTCAAGACAGCTCAGATTCGACAGAAATCTTCAGCCGATCAGCATTGCCGAGATATTCAGTTCGAGGTTGGTGAGCGAGCTTTTCTCAGAGTTAGTCATTTCGCGGAGTTATTCAATTCGGGTAGAGAGGGAAGTTGCACCCTCGATTCATTGGCCCGTTCGAAGTACTTGAGCGAGTGGACGAAGTTGCATATCGATTGGCCTTACCTCCCGAGTTATCCAGTGTTCATAATGTCTTTCATGTATCCATGTTACGCAAGTACGTGTGCGACCCCGATCATGTCACTCCTCATACTGATATTCAGATCCATCTAGACTTATCTTACGAAGAGCGACCGGTAGCTGTGTTGGACCGACAGGTTCGACGGCTCTGGAAGCGTGATGTTCCCCTTGTTCGTATTCAGTGTGATCGCCACGGAGCTACTTGGGAGCAGGAGGCTGATATTCGCGCTCGTTTTCCTGATTTCCAGTTCTGATGTATATATTCTTTCATGTTTCATGTATATATGTTTTGTTTTATATTTCCAAAAACGGAAATATTTTAAGGGGGGCAGATTGTAATACCTCGTCATGTTATTAATATAAGGTCATGTTTAGTTCCGAAATATCTATTTCATTAAGCGTTATTGTTCGGAACTATTTATTTTAGTCAAGGACGTTCGATTCAATTTTCTAATATCACATTTATGTTCGAAATAATTTTCCGATAATTAATTCATGTTTAATTGCTCGATAATTAATTTTATCGAGCTTAAGTTCATTGATCATGTACTAATTGTATTTAATTAAGCCTAAGTAAGTCTTGTACGCACGGCCATGTGCCATCACGCAGCAATCGCATGTCATTAGCACAAGTGACCGCGCTTAGTGCCCTTAGCACGCACTTAGCTCATATAAGCCGTGCTTAGCACATTGTAAGGCCGAGAGATAAGTCTCTCAAATTTCTTCACGTGAAATGTCATGATTTCATTACCACATGCAAGTTGGAGAGGGCTTGAAGTGGTGACTAAGCTAAGACAAAGGTGAGTAAGCACCCAAGTGCCACTCTTAGGTTTTAGGCACGCGGCACATGGCGAGCGGCCATTGGTCGAGCTTTTCACCACAATTCTCTCAAGTTTTACCGTGATATTTAATCAGCAATTGGAGAGGATTTATAGCTTATTATTTAAGCTACAAGCTCAGCAAATACTAAGCCAAATTAACTTTAAAACACACACACTCAAGAGCAGCACACACGCACATGCACGGATCAAGGAAATCACGCCCGTTCTTGGGAAATCATCCGAACACTCGAGGAGGTAGCTTCGTCCTCAACATCTTTTTATGTTAATAAGTTCATGTAGTGTTGAATTTTTCAGCTCATGTTCCAAAAAGTTCATGAAATGCCACGATGTATTCGGTTTTAGGCCATATTGGTCGTGACCGAGTAAACCCTCTTTTTATTCGACAACTCTCGAGTATGTTAGGTTCATTTGATCATCATAAGTCATTTGATAATTAGTTACTTCATGTTGACCGAAGAAATTTCATGTTTAGTCGAGGGATTGGCTTAACGCCAACCATACGCACACGGTGTGCGTACCTCGGCACTTCATTGTCCGTCGAACAAAGTCTGTTAATTTTGAGTAAATTCATTATATTTAGTCATGTCATGTTATACTATGATGGTTTATGTTGAAGTTGCCGAAGAAAGTCGTCGGAGGGCCAACAAGGATCGGTTGTGCATGCGCTGTCCGCAACAGGTGTGCGTGGTGCGAGAGGATGCGCAGTATAGTGCCGCGTGAGGTCAGTACCCACAACAGGTAGCTGTTGGCGATGCATGTGCGCACGCCAACACCCAGTCATGCACGCCAGCGTACGGTAACGCACGCCAGCGAGCAGCGTCGCACGTCAGTGGTCTTCGCAGCGCCCGACAGTCTGGCCGAGTGGCCAACATCGCGGGAGTTGCACGGCAG